AGTCCATGTCGACCTCCCAATTGAGTCTCAGATGCACTAAGCCGCCCCACTTGTGCATTCATATCTCCGGCAATCACCACAATGTCTGAGTTTTTAGCTCGCCGCAGCAGAGCATTCAGGGCGTCTAAAACCTGTTATTTGACGGCGTCAGAGCTACAGTCAATTGGGGCATAGGCAGACACGGTAAACAGACATCTATCAACTTGCCGCTTGTGAGACTCCTTCACAGACGTTGCCAGACGAACCGCCCTGCTGTATGCAGCAAGTAAGGCGACCCGGCTGATGGCACCACGCGACGGCCGATGTGGCATGAGTTTATTTGTGTATGTGCAATTCATGGTTGTACGTGGGCTGGGATACTGCCAGGGCACCCACACCTAGACAGGAGGAGGTCCTCAACCAAAGTCTTTGGCTTAAAAGCCTAACCGCAAGGTAGCGGTTTGGCGGAAATGCAATAAATGCATTACCATCTCTACGGAACAAGTCGCCATACATGTTCCAACCCCCAACCTAGAGGACCAGGAGACTGTGTTCGTCAGACCTCTAACCATTGACCAACCTGGCATGAGAGACTCTGTGAGTGTCGCGGGACACTCTCCAGTATAGCTCAGTGGATCGCTGAGGTGCGCAAACCGTCACACCACGGTAAGGTCCAGTCTCTTCGTGAAGCTAGTAGTGAGTTTTCCATAATCGTACCAATGACGAATCTATAGAGGAAAGTTGGAAGAGGACAGCCCTGTCCAACATTAGAAGAACTCAGAAGAGAGCTTCCCAGAGACCTTCACACGGTCGCGGGAGTTGGAGTACAGCGCGTTAAGGAGGGTCAATAATTTATGCGGGACACCTTTGCTCCGCAGACACTGTCATAGTGTTTCAGAGACACAGCATGCATCAATTTTAAGGGAGTATAAGGCTTCAGTAAGCATTGCCTGTTTGCCATTTTGAAGTAGAGTACGGGCATTGAAAGCTCCTACATAGCTAGGATCTCATGGAATTAGAAGGGTGTTATTTTGCTCACTGTTAATTGACAGCGAAGCCTTTTGGTCAGATAACTGACAGTCAAGTGACCCAGTGACGTTTGCTTGTGTGGTGGGGGGAGGTAGGGGAGGGACATCGGTGGACACCGAACTGCTCGGGCAAATGATAATTCCCGGTTGCCCAAGCTGGGGTTTTGGTTGAGGTACCACACCTTGAGCCTCTGACTCGAAGTCTGACCCACAAGGCAGTGGGACGATGTAAGGTTTTGTTCAGGGACCCTGCCCCTGGCCTCTGATTCAAAAGTCTGACCAGTGAGGCAACGGGCGGTAGGGTTTTCTTTGAGGACCGTGCCTGGAGCCGATAAATCACTGGTCTGACCTGCTCGGCTGCGGTGGTTTCGTCGAACCTGAGGGTGTAGGGAGTAAGGCATTGCTGTCCTGCTTCTGGTGTGGCCACGTGCATCAGGTGCTTTTTGAGCAGCACCGTATTAAATAATGCGCCGGCGATCACGGTTAACCGTTGGGTGATCGGAGTATGCGGGTTTTAGGACCGACCTTTTCTAACCCGTCATTCCTCGCTGCTTCCATAAATATGGACATGCTGGTCGCCTGGGGGAAACACGTCACTGCCTTCACACTCCTGTCGTAGAGGACAGTACGACTTTACCCCCAGACCGCATCGTATTATGCTTACTCGTAATACGGAGTCTCGCTGCTCTTTGTCTGATTGCTCCCCTTTGACCTTCCTGGCATGGTTCCAACTTGTGGAACGACTTTCCAGCCAGTGTAGCCCGCCGGATCATTGCAGCACTCAAGCCCAACCGCCACGTCAAAGTGGCAGCTTTCAGTCTGGTCTGTCACAGTCTGCCGGCCTATACCAATCTGGTTCGTCCTCTGCTCCTTTGTAACTGTTGTGTCGCGTAGACCATCACGATGGTCGTTGTGACTGTCCGTTATAGCACTACAAATCGCCAGTTTTTTATTGCTGATTATGTGTTCGTACATCTGCTGTACTTGTTTGTTTTATAGCCAGACCCGAGGTTCATACTACCCCATCCAGTTTGCCACAGTCCGATCACCTGTGTCAATACTGTTGTCTCAGATACCTAGTGTTCCCTACCGTTCTTTCCAACTTCTGGCCTGTGTGAAGGCGATTGGTAGCGAAAGACAACTGTGTGTAATCCGTTACATTGCCACGGATTTATTTCCGCAGTCGTAAATGTACTTCTCTGCGCGGTACTTTCTCGTACACTGCTGTACTGTAGGTTTGTCACCATCGTCCTCACACAAGTCGCTTATCTTCATTGCTTAACACTGCCTTTATCTTGTTTTCCACTGCGTTTAGATGCTGGTTTGATACTACAGATTCCACACAACTCGCACCTCCCTGTATACTTGCAAATGTTTCATACGTATAACGTTATCTCAGGTGCATACAAGGGTAACGTTTGACTTGAAAAGTGAAAAAGCGTGTATTAACCGCAGACTTTCGACCCTCTTGTAAGGGTATTTGGAATGTTACCCGGGCGAAAAACTTAAATTTTCATGCTTGTGCTTCCCTTCCCTTTTCAGATTTGGTAATATTTCCGAACACTTTCGGCTCCGCTTCAAGATTTCGTCATATTTTCTCAATGAAACGCGCAGGTGAAGTAGGTTCTGCTTTCAGTACGAATCGTATCTTCTTCGCTGTTCAAGATGCCCGTTACTTCTTCAGCCACAGTTAATTCGCGAAGCTCAGAAAGTGCGAAAGATTGTCGAAAACGGAAAACTTTGCGCATTCAATACCTTGCCGAAAGTGTGAGACTTCGCGAGTTGACGATTCTTAAAATGAAGGCAGACATAGACAAGGCAAGTTCATTCACGCGTTTTCTTTCTCTATCGTGTTCCTGCTCTGTATTGACGTTTGCGTTTTTTGTTTTCAGTTGATCGAAGTGTGCCGTTATCTGGACCGGGGTGAAGTCCCACAAGCTTTGCTTCAAGAACTCAACATTCCTTTCCAATATGACTGGGACGGCAACAGCGATATGAATCTCTATAACGCCTAATCCGTATATGCCTCGCGCCTATTCCAAATTGGCCCAAAGTTGTGATAGTCATTTTCCTCCTTTTTTCAAAACTGATTTTTCCTGCTGCTTTATCTTTTTTCTCCTTTATACTATTGTTGCTTATATCAGTATATAAGAACCTATTGACTTGTTTGGTGTGTTCTGGCACTGGTGACAAAGAAGGGTCTTTTGTTTTAAACACCTAGAATGGTGGTGTGCGACGACAGTCAGGTGTTTGCTACAAACCACTTATTGCGTAACTCACCGTTATCCTTTAGTAAGGAATAGCATCCGGGCTTATTTTCAACTAATTCACTCTTATCACAGTCATTTCGCTGCTTGCAGTGAGACACCACATGCTTCCCGGCCCAAACCTTAATCAGTCTCAAAGCAGATTGTGGCGAAAACCGAACTTTGTCCACTAATTTTTGTCGCAGAAATCTGACAACTACGTAAGATTCAGTTAGTCTGTGACAATCCAAAGTCATAGAATACATATTAATTGGGAGTGCTTTCGGTCGGTTCGGCATGAACTCAAACGTGTGGGTTAGAAGTGTTCGGAAATGCAGAAGCATGTGCATTTGGACGACGGAGTATTTCATCGTGCCATGGGAATCGAATAGCAAGTTCTGTGAGCTGGCACGCGGTCGTATCAAGAAGGGAATGTCGTGACGTATGCTCAATGAGGTTGCTCCTCTTAAAAATTGACATGTTCCATACTGGCGGGAGATTTTTACTTGGTAATTTGCGGAAACACTTGGTGAGTCTTCAGTTGCTCCACGATGGACTGCAGCCTATGGAATATCACACTGATCGCAATGTAATGCGTGGGTGAAAATGACTCCATATTACTGCTGTTTTAGACTGGGTTCAAAGGTAGCGTTTTCTCTGGCTGTTTTTTCAGGTGTACAGTAAGCACGAGGCTGAAATTAACCGGTTTCTTTTGTGCAGTCATTCAATCTCTGCTACCTAAATATCGAGAGAACCTTCGGCCAAAAGCCCAGCAAAGTCCATGTGAGTGGCTCGTGCGTTCTGCGGGAGTGAATCCATAGTAGCTAATGAAACCCGTTTTTAGCGGGCTCTTTTGCCAAAACCTGCCACCTGTTGCTGTGATTTTACTTAGGCTACAACCCGTAATACGTAGGATCGGCTAACATCAGTTTCATTCTTCGTCTGCTTTTTACCTTAGCCAAGTTAAAACTTGTTCTAGGAAATACGGGTTTTGCGGTCCTACGGCACTAAAATGTAAGTGCCAGCGCTTGTGTTGGGGCCCATGGTGATGCATGTGACGGTAAAATATCAGTAAAATCCTGTTAAAGCAAACAGAATGTAACATTTATAACAAGTCACTTTCTGTCACAACTGTCCATTTCAAAGTATACATGAATAATCCCGATTCGTTTGAGAGACTAGCTATTCCCTTTATTAGTATGTCCGAAGTAACCAAACTGGTCTATGAACATGTACGTTGAACCTGTTCTGTTCGCTTCCAGTGGATTCACATAATGGCACAGAATGAAGATGGACTCAACTTTGGATGCAATGCTAGAAGCTGAAGCATTAGTGCCCATCTCACCGACCTTTGACAGTTTCAACCGATGTATGATATTGCATGAGTTGTAAAACCTAGCAGACACGCTGCAGCTCGAGATTCAGACCGTTCTTAAAACTCCATTTCGCAATATGCCAAGACCAGCTGAACTCAGTTCCGAAATGACTAGTAGAGAAACCAGAACATTTTGTTGCCAGTGGAATAATAATCAGGAAACTGATGGAATAGATAGAACCTACTACCACGCAGTCATTTTTGTCCTTCAAGGTTACTTCACTCTGGGTCTCACCGGTTCAACATAGCCTTCCGTTAATCCCTCAGTCCTTTGGAACTTACGAGCAGATTATGCTGATAATCTCATCAGCTGCCACACAGAATACGCAAACGGGCTTGGAAACTTGTGTATATTTGTAATTCACTACTCATGAGGTTGCTGAAAATTCGGCTTGGAAACTATTCATTGGGCCGCACCTTATGGCACGAAGCAACAACCGTATCATCTTCCGAGTTTCCTATATCGAGACTCGGTTTACAAAAATAGGTGGCAGAAATCCACCTACGTGATCATTTTCTTTGTACGCACAGTTCGTCCTTGTTCTACCTGCATTAAAAACAGTCACCACCAGTGGTGTGACGGTACGTGGCTAACCAAGGCCGCTCTGAGTGTGAGGGCATCAAAGGTGCCCTCCGAACTACCATAGGCGAATCGGTCCGAGCTAGCTCAACTACTCTGCAGCAAATCAACACGGTACAGGTGGTGAGCATGTTGGTGAGGCATGGCAAAACGTGAAAAGAAATGTGCTAGTGGATTTCATTGCTGTGTCTGGCTTCTCCGATACGATCAAATAACTACTGGATATAGTTGAGGCCGCTAGCAGTCGTTGACACCAGAAGATCCATAAGAGCGAGCAACCAGTACGACGGCGCACGCGAATCCCTCAAGGGCGTAATAGTGAAGAGTATAAGGAAAGACAGCTTCGGTGGACATCGAAAGCCCACGAGATGCAGGCTTTTACTACCGGGTAACGGAGAAGGATCTCTAACAATACATGGGTGAATTTATGAAATGGCGGTAAAGGACACACAAGGGGAAACGTGAGCGTGGATGTGGAAACAAGGTACGCATAGAAAATGAATTCAGACCTTTTTCAATCAATTGGAAAATGTTTGGGACCGATTGGGAAGTCATCGCTTCAGACCTTGTTTAAACAAACAAGCCAAGGAAAACGGTAGGTGAGCTGTACAAAGTGAAGGGATGGAGGCAATGAACGAGTTTGCAAACGAAACTGTAGGCGACCAGGCTGACGTAACTTGCTAGTGGAAGGGTATTTCTTAGCGTTAACAAGAGTGTTTGCTTGTGAGGTCTCCAAACTAAGATAGTAGAAATACACAGTCTTAGGCGCTGTAACCAGTCGCGGTCGGAAAGTACACACACAGTTCAGGAGATGTTTTCAATGTATCTCACACAAAAAGTATGAAGTATAGCAGGTCGGCATAAAAAGTGCGTTTTTACCCCTTCTATAGGAGTCATACGGTGGATTTATTTGGGGGTGAGAGCAGAGTTAAGTAAATGTCCCTAACTCGTATAGGAAGGAACTAGTGAAACAAAAAGCAAAGTTACCACCATCTCTAAAAATTATCTGGATGGGCTGTCCGGAGAAAAGCCATCTAAAAAGTCTAAATCAGTGACATTAGAACGGCAGAGGAAAAGTTTTACTGAGAAGAGAAACAAAGCACTACATCTCCGTGTACTGAAAAAAATAGCCAGGTAACCATGTGAAAAGAAGGAGTATCCAGCACAATAATTTTTTTTGTATAAAAAGGATTGTCTGTCAACGTTTCAGAAAGGGGAAGACAAGACGGCAGCATCAAATGTACTATCTGATAGCCGAAACGGCATTAATGTGTAAAAAGCTCAGAAGGAAGAACAATTTATACGAGGAGTGAAATTTCCATCTGAGGAGTTGTCACTCGATAAGCCGATCAATATTTGACCAGGTGATGTGGATTCCGTGATTGAAGGATGGGTGGCACATGCCCCAGTTTGAGGTAGTGACTGCCAGTCAGCCGTTCGTGGCCGAGCGGTTAGCTGGGAAA